TAAGTATTTAACGTAATAATTTGATATAAATCTGAATATCGCTGAATAAATTTAATGAAAGGCTTTATAATTAAGAATNATGAAGACTATCCATCTAGGTTTTATTAATCTAAGGTGTAACCTAAAAGTAACCAATGCAGTTCAAAAATAACCTAAAAGGTTACAAAAGTAACCTTCTGGCAACACTGCAAAGATGAGGCGGGACCTGTGCCGCGACCAAAGAATACCCGATTTTCGTGCTCTCGTTTAATGAAGTGTTGATTTACACTGCGACTAAAATACTTTTGATGCGTTTTTGAGTTTTGTGAAGAAGAAAAGTTTTGTTTCGTGAGGTAAGTTTTGTTGTTAAATAGGTATTTAGTTAAATAATTATTTTAGTTTTGTGTTTAACAGTAATATTTTTATTTGTTTATTTTTAGCTATGGGTCGCAAAGATGGTGTATATTACCCTTGTCTTAAAAAAAGGAAACGCCATAATTTTGCAGCCTTAACAAAAGCAGCAGAGGCGAGGTAAATTTTTTTGGCCGATTTAGCTGAAGTATATTTTATCGCCCGACGATGCAATACTATGATGACGTGGACCTGAATGATGAAGCTGGAAGTTGGTCATACATAGGAACTCTGCAATGAAACGACGCAATGCCACCGAATTTGAGCCTATATGATTCGTCTTGTCTCCAGATGATATCCAGTGTCTGATGATGGAGCTGTAAGGTGGTCATAGGAACTCCGTATTGAAAAGATACAATCCCATCGAGTTTGGGCTTTTTTGATTATTTTTGACGAGCAGATTTAATAAAAGGGGTGTTAATGTACACGGCATAAAAAATATCATTTTTATTAACAATCATAAAAGCTTGTTCTTTGTAATCTTTGGTCTTTTTTGTTTGTTTTCTTTTTAGGATGAGATATCGTCTGAAGCGCTTAGAAGAGGAGAGCACTTTTAGAGCTGACGCAGTGCCGGGTACAAGTGACAATTCAAATTCGGCAACAGAAGTTGTACGTAACATTTTTACAAAAATTCTTGATTTAAAAGATAAATTTATTTAGAAACTAGCTGTGCCCGTTTTCGCAACATTTTTCATTTTTGCTCTGCACCTAACTTACTCGTAGCGTGATGGTATATAGCCTATATCCTTCCTCGATAAATGGGCTATCTAACACTGAAATAATTTTTCAAATCGGACCGGTAGTTCCTGAGATTAGCGCGTTCAAGTAAACAAACAAACAAACTCTTCAGCTTTATAATATTAGTATAGATAGAAAGACTTTGTTGACACAATACCACAGAATAAGTAATAGTACAATACTTAGTTAATTTACAGTCAAAATTCATACATAATCAGTAAAAAAAAACAATGTGGCTTTTTATTTTTTCTCATATTTCTGAGAAATCTAGGTATTCGTTAGGTAAAAGAAAAGATAAGTAAAACTTTGTCTGAATTTGCCCTGATTTAATCTTTTAAATTAAGCGAAACCACTATTGACTGATTTTTGCAGTCAAAAGTGGTTTTATTAACTAACGCAAACAATCATAATAATATTATTATCTTATATCTTACTAATATTATAATGCAAAAGTTTGGATGTCTGGATGTTTGTTACTCTCACCCAAAAACTACTGAACGGATTTTTATGAAACTACTGTACAACCCAGAATAACATAATTAGGCTATCATTTATGACGATTTGTGACAAACTAAATTTCACGCGGGTGAAGCCGTGGGCAAACTTTATTAAAAACATTCGCATTGAAAACCTCCTTTTTGTAAGTCTGTTGTTAAAAATTGCCTAAAACGCATTATCATAATATGATTTTTAAATTGAATTTAGACTGAACCCTAGTCTTTAACATCAAATTGTAACTAACAAAATATGGACTGCTTTGTCTACAAATATTCGATAGGTAGGATTACAGTCAACAAGCCATAGAACAAGGCTCAAGTAGTTTCAAAGCAAGATCTGTCAAGGCTTAGTCGAAATCGACCACTTTATGTTTCATTCCATACAACGAAAATGGAAAATATTTTTTTCCAGTTAAACTATTGGTTTTAGAGAAAAACTTGTGCAGCATTTATTCATCAGAATAACGTAACCTATCGATAGGTATTTTTTTCAAATAGAAATTTTGAAAAAAATCGCTATGTCCATAAATCGCAATTTCGCTCCATAGTGCGGCGACTGGTTGCGTTGCGCCGCCATGGTGGCACATTTTTCACAGTAATTTCTTCCTAAAACGTTTTACCAGTATTTACACTTATCATTTAATGATACCTATGTCAAGAAATAAAGAATTTACATTGAGTTTCATTGACTTTGAGCAAATTATATTTTTTGTTTATTTAGAAAGAGAGAGTCTGCCCACAGAGAGCGAGATAGTGATACATAGGTTGTGCTTCAAGCAGGTATTTGGAGTGTGGCCTCCATTTTTATCTATAGCTTCATGCCAGAGCCATATTAAAGAAGAAAAAAAGGCCTGCCCCCCTAGACAAAACGCACTTTTTGATCGAATCGAAAATCGAATCCGTCAAATTCCATACAAAAAAGGGGCTTTTCGACTGGTTTGCGATTATAATGGCACTTTGTCTAGACCCACTGTTCATCTCCGGTGTTGCCAGAAGGTTACTTTTGTAAACTTTTGGGTGATTTTTGAACTACTTTTAGGTTACACTAATGAAAAGGTTACTTTTAGGCGATTTTTCGGAAATTGTAGAATTAACTTTTTTACAGGTTATTCAGTAAAAATATTAATAGTGTCATTTTACAAATTATTTAAATTGAAACGTGACACTTTCAACTTATCGAAGATGTAAGATGTTAGTACGTATCAGCTTTATGATATCAATTGCACATGAAAGGTTACTTTTTATTCAAAAAGGTTTCATTTTTTTATATTTCCGGTAATTTCTGACAAAACCCGACTGGCAACACGACTCCGCGACTTTACATCGAAAACAAAACAAGCACGATGGCCCCCTACAGGATTACTATTCGACAAGGCCTCACATACGAGCGAGCATTGACTCACGCACGCGTATTCTTGTGTATGATGGTAAAAAATAAACAAAAGTGTAAAAAATACTGTGCAGTATTTAACTGCCTAAATAATAATACAAACATACAATGTACTTTTTTTAAGTTGCCTGAAGACACTGAAAGGTAAATAATGTGGTTTTAATATTATTCATGCTTAATCATGTATATCCTCCGCCATTTTCCGCAGTTTGGCACCTCACCTCACGTCATACGTCATTTTACCGAAGTCAGCCCTATGACTTCGGCGCAGTACCGATCACTGACGTTTGTCAACAAAATGGTGCTCGACTCTTGCCACGCTAAATTACACCATATTGTTAAAGGCATTGAACATACTTTTAATTACTTTTTTTTAAATACCTTCGCGAAGTAAACCTTTTGTATTATTCTGCGGTTATACCCATTATACCTAAATGATTTCAAGGTCAATTGACAAGTCTGTTTATTTCAGGCGCCGGATATGGTTGTTAAAGATCGACAGAGAAGATTTATTGACAAAAAATAATTTGAAATCATCAAGTTACTTTGTCTGTGCGTCACATTTTGAAGAATCTTCAATCAAAATGATTCAAAAGCTCCATAAAGATGCAATCCCAAACAGATTATTGCCTAATCAACCTCAGGAAGGAACATCTCAAACAAATGTTGATAAAATATCTGTTACGGTAAATGCTTACGATATTTTAATCATTCGATATTTTGATCGTTCGATCATTTTGTAAATTCCGTATTTTGAACATTAGATATTCTGATCTGATCGTTCTATATTCTGATTAGTGATTGTTCGATGAACCGTGTTCGATATTTTGATTTTCGATCATTTGTCATTCGATATGGCGTAGGTAACCTCATACAGAGTAAATACAAATTTATATAAAATACAAAGTGGCATGGCATGTTTCTTCGTCATGGAGGGTACGTATCGTCACATCTGAGCCCCGATTACGGTAACTTTTATCCTGTACTATTACTTATTCTGTGCTTTTATTTAACGTCTACAATCTTTACGATTCTGCGATACGATTGGTCGTTCAACAGCGTACGTCAGCTGTTTTGACCAATCGTATCGCAGAATCGAGAAGCGTGTCTGGATTGTTGACGTTAAAAATTACCGTAATCGGGGCTCTGTGTGGTGGTCACAGCTGGTTTTGACAGTTTTTACCTTTTTTGGTTGGCAGCATTGATGCCACAATCAATCAAGTCATTTTGTGTAAAACTAGTAGCGGGAAGATTCGAAAAAACATTATAAGACTATAAAGAATATAATGTACAAAAAATTGCATAGTGGGCCTTACGACTAAAACATTATAACAAACAAAGCTGTGACTGACAGAGGTATTTTATTTTGTGCAAAATTTTGTACGCGGGGTCTTAGGAGGTTAAAAGAGAACACCGGCTCGTGTACAGCCGCACATTTTGAACGTTTTCATATCACACACCGTGTTACTTTGTATTCTTGCCATGTTCACAGAGATAAAAGTAGGGAACAATACATACCTATTATTTAAGATAAACAAGAGACTTCCATAAAGAAATTAGGTACACTAAGTTTTTAGTAAATTTGGTTTTGCAGTACAAATTGGAATAAACCAATTTTGTCTAGCACGTTCTACAGGCGCAATTGGAATAAACCTAGTGGGCGTGGCCACTGGCCAAGTTCTTATTATTCTGATGTTTTATGGCTCTGGGTCATCATCATCATCAACAGCCCTTTACAGTCCACTGCTGGACTATGAGCCTCCTCCACTATAGTAGAGGGTTTTGCCATGGCTCTGGGTACAAGCCTTTTTATCCAGTCATAATACATAATTATTTTAAAATATTCTTCAGTTGATTTCAGATTTTTCTTTCTACTTTACGGGCTTAGGACCGTCAAAAATGTAATAATTATTAGGGTTTTAATTAATTTATAACATTGTTCCCTATTTTTACAATTTAATAAATTATGTATGAAATGAAATCACCAGGCTATTTGTCAAATTTTGAAAATCGTTTTAAATGATTCTATGATAACTATAAGCACACTCCATTAATATTTCTGGCAGATTTACTGTATTATTAGTAAAAAACGATGTAAAAGTTTAAATTATCAAAACCGCGCCAAAAACGATGATTCTGACTCGTGTGACGTCACACACCAGTAAACAAATTTCTAACCTCTAAAAAGATACGTCAGTGGGAATAACACTGAAGAGAATTTTATTAATTTCCTTTAAATTTAGAGGCTAAAATGGTTTATAAATGGTGTGTAGTGCCGCATTGTACAAATACGTCTATAAAGGATCCAAACAAAGTATTTGTTTCTGTACCAACGAATCCCAAGAGACGGAAAATGTGGTTACAATTAGCTAGAAGAGACCCAAATTGCATTTTAACGCATACAAATGTGTGTGAAGATCACTTTAATGTAAGTAAAAATTTTCTTGATTTTAATACGAGATACTCAGTAGATAAAAATATTGCTTTTTAAGCATAACGCAGTGTTATAAAATTCCATTACTTATAAGTCGTGCTAACTTCTACAGTTTTGTGTGTTGTCTTGTAAAGGCTATTGTATTGTGCGTGAAACTTAATTTTGCTAGTCAGTAATACTGTTTGTTTTGCAGATGGAAACTGACACCAAGAACTATACCATGTATAAAATGGGCTTTAGTCAAAAGATACTTTTAGCAGATGAAGCAGTGCCAACTAAATTTGATTGCCAAGAGGATCGCAAAAAACGGCTGTCCAGTGAGGGATCTTCTCGAAAAGCATTCCTTAAAAGGCAAAGAGCTGATCTTATTACAGAATGTCTTCAAAATCAAAGTGTTACTGAAACTGAAAAATTGCTAAAAGATGAAGTTATGACACAAATGATTGAACCTGAAGGTATATCCTATTTGTCACAGTTATCATAAATTAGTACTTAAATGTTTATGTTATACATATTTAAATTAAATAAATAATTTTTGATGTTGTCTTTTCAGAATTACCAAGAACTCAAGACAAAGAAAGTATCACCAAATTCACCAATTCTATTATAACTCTAGAAAAATCTGTTCAAGTATCAACTAAAGTGAGGGATTTCTTTTTTTGACAATTGCTGCACAGTGATGTATTTCAGCGTTGTACCTACTTTTGACANGCATTTCACTCGCTACTTTCACGTCGGTGTCAACTTTATGTGCCTCGTTTTCGACCATCAACTGTCGGCGTGTTTTGACTCCGGCGCCGCGGGGGGTGCGAAGCAGAGACATGTTGACGTATCACTCACTCTTGGTTCACAATTATCGATGATTCGGCTCGTAGGACCACTTTGTAGGCGATGTAGGTCGATGGGTGAACGAAAGATGATGAAAAGATGAAATGAAAGTCCAGTTTGTAAGTAAAAAACCGAAAGGCGCGTCCGGGGGTGCGTACGTACGTTCGCGGAAGTTGTTGGATCACGACTGGCGCGGCTCTCGGCCGCGTGTGCGGCGCGGTGGGCCGCGAGTGGCTTCTGACCATAAAAGGACAGATGCCTCCGGCCAATCAGCGGGCCGCATCGCTAACGGCTAGCTCTAGCATGTTCTAGGCGCGACAATATTATTACCTACGCGCACCCGGAGTTGCGTATTATTTTAATTATCCAAAATCACATACACACAGTGTAAGTTCGACATGTTCAATTTACAGTTGACATAGTTAAATATATTATTATTACGGTGCAAATATACCTATTCATTGATAGGTACATAGGTACACAGTTTCAGGTTAAAGGCAAATTAGATTCATAAGTAACTAATTTTACATAATTAACAATACGTAGGTCTATCAACTACCTACTTCTGGTGGCCATCGTCAACATCATCCCCCCTAGTGTCGCTTTGCGACACTCATAACCAAAATTATACTATGCGCGTCACTGGTCACTTCATCACAGCCATACTTAGCTGTTGGTCCCAGACCTTAGTGCCAGTTGGCTCAAGCACGGCTAGCGTTGCGCGGTTCCAACAAGTTTCNGGATAGGACGATGTCGTAAGAACGCATACACAAAATAACATTGTCAAAAGCACACAGGTAAATTATTTTAACAATTAATATTTACATGAAATAAATCAACCTTTACAAAATAATCACTACTCGTCAACTTACTACAGACAATTAACTTTCAAATTTCAATTTAAGTCAACTTTCAAATTCAAAACGGATTTCAAAACAAGCATTTGGTAAGAGCCATACTCTCTAATCTGTGGTAAGAGCCTGGCAAATCAATGACGTCACGCGTCCATGGCAAGCCTGCGGTCTAACAAAGACCGTCAACAAGTTTACCTAAACTTTCTAGAATGTTAATTACAAGTAAATCATCCTTATGTTTACACTGTTTACTAATTATTCCTATCGATTCCAAAGACAAATAATTGTGCACTAACTCTTGCGACTGTAGCAAATCATGTTCATATTGATCGTGTTGTAAACAAAATAAACTTTTATTATTAACATAAAATTTAGTGGATTCGACAGAAGGTTTATTTAGTACGCGCGGCAACGACTCTCCGTTTGTACATTCGCTAAATAAACATGTTGATAAGTTCGCTAAATTGCCTAAACACTCGTCGCTAGTCGGATCGAGCGCGCGCGCCGCCGTAGGTATGCAAANCCTTACGACTAAAACATTATAACAAACAAAGCTGTGACTGACAGAGGTATTTTATTTTGTGCAAAATTTTGTACGCGGGGTCTTAGGAGGTTAAAAGAGAACACCGGCTCGTGTACAGCCGCACATTTTGAACGTTTTCATATCACACACCGTGTTACTTTGTATTCTTGCCATGTTCACAGAGATAAAAGTAGGGAACAATACATACCTATTATTTAAGATAAACAAGAGACTTCCATAAAGAAATTAGGTACACTAAGTTTTTAGTAAATTTGGTTTTGCAGTACAAATTGGAATAAACCAATTTTGTCTAGCACGTTCTACAGGCGCAATTGGAATAAACCTAGTGGGCGTGGCCACTGGCCAAGTTCTTATTATTCTGATGTTTTATGGCTCTGGGTCATCATCATCATCAACAGCCCTTTACAGTCCACTGCTGGACTATGAGCCTCCTCCACTATAGTAGAGGGTTTTGCCATGGCTCTGGGTACAAGCCTTTTTATCCAGTCATAATACATAATTATTTTAAAATATTCTTCAGTTGATTTCAGATTTTTCTTTCTACTTTACGGGCTTAGGACCGTCAAAAATGTAATAATTATTAGGGTTTTAATTAATTTATAACATTGTTCCCTATTTTTACAATTTAATAAATTATGTATGAAATGAAATCACCAGGCTATTTGTCAAATTTTGAAAATCGTTTTAAATGATTCTATGATAACTATAAGCACACTCCATTAATATTTCTGGCAGATTTACTGTATTATTAGTAAAAAACGATGTAAAAGTTTAAATTATCAAAACCGCGCCAAAAACGATGATTCTGACTCGTGTGACGTCACACACCAGTAAACAAATTTCTAACCTCTAAAAAGATACGTCAGTGGGAATAACACTGAAGAGAATTTTATTAATTTCCTTTAAATTTAGAGGCTAAAATGGTTTATAAATGGTGTGTAGTGCCGCATTGTACAAATACGTCTATAAAGGATCCAAACAAAGTATTTGTTTCTGTACCAACGAATCCCAAGAGACGGAAAATGTGGTTACAATTAGCTAGAAGAGACCCAAATTGCATTTTAACGCATACAAATGTGTGTGAAGATCACTTTAATGTAAGTAAAAATTTTCTTGATTTTAATACGAGATACTCAGTAGATAAAAATATTGCTTTTTAAGCATAACGCAGTGTTATAAAATTCCATTACTTATAAGTCGTGCTAACTTCTACAGTTTTGTGTGTTGTCTTGTAAAGGCTATTGTATTGTGCGTGAAACTTAATTTTGCTAGTCAGTAATACTGTTTGTTTTGCAGATGGAAACTGACACCAAGAACTATACCATGTATAAAATGGGCTTTAGTCAAAAGATACTTTTAGCAGATGAAGCAGTGCCAACTAAATTTGATTGCCAAGAGGATCGCAAAAAACGGCTGTCCAGTGAGGGATCTTCTCGAAAAGCATTCCTTAAAAGGCAAAGAGCTGATCTTATTACAGAATGTCTTCAAAATCAAAGTGTTACTGAAACTGAAAAATTGCTAAAAGATGAAGTTATGACACAAATGATTGAACCTGAAGGTATATCCTATTTGTCACAGTTATCATAAATTAGTACTTAAATGTTTATGTTATACATATTTAAATTAAATAAATAATTTTTGATGTTGTCTTTTCAGAATTACCAAGAACTCAAGACAAAGAAAGTATCACCAAATTCACCAATTCTATTATAACTCTAGAAAAATCTGTTCAAGTATCAACTAAAGTGAGGGATTTCTTTTTTTGACAATTGCTGCACAGTGATGTATTTCAGCGTTGTACCTACTTTTGACAGAGTAGGTGTAGGCGATGTAGGTCGATGGGTGAACGTAGGTGATGAATGAAAATGAAAGTCCAGGTAGGTACGTTGAAAATGAAGGCGCGTCCGGGTGTGCGCACTAGTACGTTCGCAGAGGGTGAGAGTTCGACGACGACTGGCGGCTCTCGGCCGCGTGTGCGGCGCGGTGAGCCGCTAGAAGCTTCTCACCATAAAAGGCGAGAGGCCTCCGGCCAATCAGCGGGCCGCATTGCTAACGGCTAGCTCGGAATGTTCTAGGCGCGCGATAATATTATTACCTACGCGCGCACCCAGATTCGCTTACTTGTTATTTAATTTAAACTCCAAAAACACATACACACAGTGTAAGTTATGTGGTCGACTTACAGTTTACATATTATTACCACGATGTAAATATACTCATAGCTTAAACATAGATACATTTAAATTTAGTTAATAGAACAAAATGCAAGGTAAGTCACAGGACTTCGGTAAGTTATGTAGGTCAATAATAATACCTATAGCCTACATTCAGGCACCATCAGTTACATATTCATACAAATGAAAGGCAAATCTAATAAGGTATTAGTAAGTTAGTTTCATAAGCAGCCATTTTAATTAATAATATTTAAATCTAGCTAAGTTGTACCTACTTCAGGTGGCCATCGTCAACAGTAGGTTTTCTCCAGTAGCATTCAACTGAAGTACATGCAGGCTCTTCAGAACGGCGATGGACCCACATTAAAAATGCTACTGGATGCTTGCATCCCCCAGCTGAAGCTGCACACTGCACAGTCGTGGCACTGACAGCTAATCACTTTGCTGTCCTGTTCATTAGGGGCCATCCATAAAAGTACGTCACACGAATTTCATGATTTTTTGACCCCCCCTCCGTCCTTGTCACAGGTGGTCACATTTCTGAGACCCCCCTCCCTAGTGTGACGTCACATGTTTTGCAATTTCACATCGAAAAATTATTAAATTAACAGCAGTTCCGAAATTAGTTTTATTTCCACTTAAATTAAGTAATTTTTTTTATGAAATCAACATTATATCAAATAAATGTGATGTCACGAAACTTAGGACCCCTCCCACCCCTTGTCACACCATGTCACACTTTGTCAACCCCCTCCCCCCCTCTTTACGTGTGACGTACTTTATGGATGACCCCTTAACAACCATTGTGACATTGTAAGATTTTATTCTGACGCTATGTTCAGGGCACATTTTACATTTCACTGTACATATTCCATCCTTGCGATGTAGCTGAACATATCCAATTGCATCGTCTCCGTAAGTTTCCCTTGCAGACCTGTGGAACAAGAGCAAAGGTCATGACAAAAATTTTGTTAGACTTGAGAGTAAATGTGTGAATGACCAAAAGTGTGATCTAATAATAATCATTTAGAATACACAGAACACAGCTGTTTTCACATTTTTAAGTTCTGCAGAATAATAATCAGGGTTATTATTTCTGAAGAAAAGTGCAATCATAAAAGCGTCGACCTTTGGCAGGTTGCTATTGTCGGCTCGCACAAAACTTATTTCCATTCTGAGTTTGTAAGTATAGAAGACCTTATAGATTAACAAAAATTGCTTCAGAAGTGGCTCACAGATGTAATTACCACTGAGAAAACTTAAAATTCGTACAATTAGCAGTAAAAAAATGGCTGTTTACTTGCATGTGACGTCACCGTAGTTGCCACCAATCACAAGACGTTCCCGTCGCAAGATTTTTTTTTGAGTAGGTATCTGCAGTTTAGGAAGTAATTCCCTGCAACTAACCATTTGACTGACGCCGGAGATAGTGCCGAAGATGGCTCTGGTGCATTTTTTTGAGTACGAAATACGGGTTATAAATGGCAATGCCAGAGCCCCGATTACGGTAATATTTAACGTCTACAATCCAGACACGCTTCTCGATTCTGCGATACGATTGGTCGTTCAACAGCGTACGTCAGCTGTTTTGACCAATCGTATCGCAGAATCGAGAAGCGTGTCTGGATTGTAGACGTTAAAAGTTACCGTAATCGGGGCTCTGATTTTGTATGGAAAGTGGCGTCTTTTTTTTTTCGCGCGGCCATCGACCAGACTTTGTTTTTTGATTACAAAATAATGTAATAAACCAAACTTACTATGGCATGTATACCTCTAAACTCAGTCTGAACTGAGTTACGAGCATTAGAAGTTTGATGATTTTCATACTAGATTTGCTTTTTGTGCGCAAGTTTTGTAAGAAATTGAAAGAAAGAAAGAAAGAAAGAAAAAATGTTTATTCAGTATCATCGACAATTGCAACAAAATATTGCGCTATTTTTTTATTGCGCTGATTCTGCTCCATACTGATATCTGGAGCCTTTAATGGATGGTGTTGTTTGTTTACACATACAATGTCACTATTTTGTTGCAATTTTTTATAAAACTTTGCGCGCAAAAAGCAAATCTAGTATGAAAATCATCAAATTTCTAATGCTCGTAACTCAGTTCAGTACCTCTAGTACGAAAAACTTTCGAGTTCGTTTCGTTTGCGTATTCAAAGTGTCATCGAAAAATATTATAGCCGCCCTAGGGGGCGCTGTTTAATTTTTCATACAAAATTTTTCGATGACACTTTGAATACGCAAACGAAACGAACTCGAAAGTTTTTCGTACTAGAGGTACAGACTGAGTTTAGAGGTATACATGTCATAGTAAGTTTGGTTTATTACACTATTTTGTAATCAAAAAAGAAAGTTTTTGTGATGGCCGCGCGAAAAAAAAAAAGACGCCAATTTCCGGCATTGTCTTTTACATTTGCCGTATTTCCCCAATGGATTATTCCGTAGCGTAAGTTAGAACAATGTTTATGCCTTATAAATATTCGGTTAAAGAAGATTATGCCAAGTGAGTTATGCCAAATGAATTTCTGCGTAGTTCTTTAACAAGATTCTGTCAGATAGAGGGGAGCCTACTTTTCCATTATGCCCATAACATATTTATTGTTTTGAATGAAAAATAGGTTAAGGTGCGGCGGGGGTGGCCCTTGCCTATTTAGTTTTATACACACAAATGATCTCATATTAATCACTTTAACTAAATCATAAGGTAATTATTCATAATAACCGGCGATTATTTATAATTTTCACATTTATCACATTTACCGCTTAGATTAATAAAGATTTACCGTAACATATCCACTGATGATTTCATAAAACCTTCGCCAAAAGTAAACATTAAAAAAAACAAGCTTCTAGCATTGGCCCATGTATTGTCCCGAAGCAGTGGTAGGGAAGGGTACAATATCGGATAGTCTTCAACTCCGGAACTGATTTTCGATACAACTAAAGTCTGGTCCGTGAGCACGTAGAATTTTGTCCAATAACCCCAAGCTATCCTTATCGCTCGCGCGTAATTATGTTGCTATCGCGCTCGCACACTCACTGCACCCAGTCGCACAGTCGCGACAGTAATATAATTACGCGCGAGCGATAAGGATGGGTAGCTAGGGGTCATTGGACAAAATTCTACGTGCTCACGGACCGGGCTTTAGTAAATGTCGAGGAATCACTGAAAACACAGTATTTTTTTTACTAGTTTCGGTGTCAGGTCAGGGTTCACCCCTTGTTAGATCAAAATGTTTAAAAAATAAATTTATTTATTATTTATTAACTCCGGAATTCTAGTTCCGGAATTGGCTAAAAAAAGAAAGCACCTACTGAAAAACGTACAACGTGGGTGGACTCCCATCTCCAGACCATACATTGCGTATTACATGTTGTGCCCTGCCCATTGCAAATTGATCTGACTTTACAGATACCTATTTTAGAAACTACAGCCTATGTCCTAAATTCTTAGATTAATATAATCTAAGCCTATATTATATTCTTTCTCAGGCAGGCAGGGTTCATTCTATCTCTATAGGTACTTACTTTTTTCAGAGAAAACTGTAAGGTACCCGATCTAGCGCTGTATGTTTTAAGGGGCCTTAATAAATGACTTACTTTTCAGAGAAAACTATACCCGATCTAGCGCTACATGTTAAAACATTATTATTATATTACCTTAAAAGGGGCCTTATTAAGTGAAAACGGCAATATTGACTGTTTTCTATTAGCTTAGCTCAGGGGTGGCCAAACTTTTGACCTGTGAGGTCTTATGCTCGAAAATATTTCTTGCGGTCGATTCAAACATTTTTATCCTTCATTTTCTTTGTTTCAGGGGAGACAGAGAAATAAAGATTCGTCGCCTGAAGAATCTGAGCCTGAGCTTGAGTCAGAGCCTACATTAGACCTTAAGATTGAGCCTACTGATGAGCAACGGCCACAGTGCGCCACATGCCACGAAGTTATATTAGGGTGAGTTTGTGACAACCATCTACTGTTGGACGCACCACAGTGCACAGCTCCAATATTACATTTATTACTTCAACCTGTAAAGACGATACTATAATTTATCACAGGGTTTCCCAATTTTTTTTTGCCAATGAACCCTAATTGATTATACTTTTCCTAGCGGAACCCCCGTACTACTCCGCCCGCACGCCCTGCCCCTCCCTTGTGCGTAAACAAGTCGGTGCGCGCGAACAACGTTGGTCACGAAACGTGGGATAATATTTTTTACGGAACCCTTCCGGCCTTTCCACGGAACCCCAGGGTTCCGCGGCCCACCTTTCGGGAACCGCTGATTTATCAAATACTTTTAGACAAACATGAAAAAAAATCATATATCTGAAATGGTGATACTTTTTTTTGTGTAGATGGTCATCCATTAGTCGCTCTTTACGAGACATCCTGTATAGACATTTTTAAGAGGCAGTTAAATAAATAATTTTATTTTGATAAATTCCGTAGGTTCGTGTTCGCGTGCGTGGAGTGTAACGCGCGCTCGTGCTCGGCGTGCGACGCGCGCGGGCTGCACGCGGCGCACCTCGTGCTGCGCGCGCCCGTAGCCCGCCCTGAGGTGAGCTCGTGGGCCCGACGACCCCACTGGTGGATAACGGGAAAAAAAAAGAAAAGTTGCGATATCCACCACTATCTGGTGAAGGTCGCGGGAAGAAATTATTTTCCAAATAAAATGGATATTTTTCAGTCTAGTATTCCAATAATTCCAATTTAAAATTTATACGCGCACTATTATTATTATTTATGTATGTATATTTTATGCAGTATAGGTTAGTGTCCGTGACTCTCACTCGGCATGGGGCACACTGAAAACCAGCGTCGTGGCTTCCCTCACCGGGGGCCACGGCATATGCTGAGTGAGGTCCCATTGCGATGGGCATCGCTGTGCGACAGGGTGGCACTGCTTAGTTTATTCATTCATTTATTGTATGTTTTATGTCACCTCTGTCTTATTTGCTTTTTTTTCCATTTTACCTCTTCTGTCTTTTGTGATGTCCATAGCAATAAATGTTTCTTTCTTTCTTTCTTTCTTTCTTTCAATAATTTCTCATATCAAAGAGACGGTAGCTTACTATTCTGAATTTTATTTTTCCCGAAGTTTCAGTTGTGGGGTTGCCCTCCCCTAAATCTGGCCTTTTTTATACATAACAAGGCAGGTAAGTATTTGACCACAATCGCACCTAGTGGTAAGTGGGATACAGTCTAGGCTATTATTATTACTATTAATAGGCTGATCAAACTATCGGCCGACAAACAGTCTTTGCGGAGTGTCTAATAGTAATTGAATGTAAATGTCCAGAGTCAGTTGAAGTTGGTGCTGAACAAAATTCGCGACACGCTGGGTCCGGTCATTGAGGGAACGCCTCGAACAATCCCGGACCAACCGGTTGAAGAGTCGCCCCAGGAACCAGATGAAGAGCCACCCCAAGACCCAAAAGAAAAGTGAGTAGTAAAAGAGAAATTGTTTCTTTGCCACACACAATATTCCACTGGTAAAGTAAGCAGAAGACCGTGTGCCAAAAAGGCTAAAGTTTTATTTTTCGCCGCGCTTCTTCTTTGGTTCTTCTAAAGCCCGGTCCGTGAGCACGTAGAATTTTGTCCAATGACCCCTAGCTACCCATCCTTATCGCTCGCGCGTAATTTTGTTGCTATCGCGCTCGCACACTCACTGCGGGTGCCAGAGTGCCAGTCGCACAGTCGCGACAGCAATATAATTACGCGCGAGCGATAAGGATGTGTAGCTTGGGGTCATTGGACAAAATTCTACGTGCTCACAGACCAGACTATAGTAGAGTAGAAATAGTGCCCGTTTTCACTATCAAACCCTAATATTTAAGTGTCCCCTACTATGTAAACAAAATTCCTGTTATTCGTTACCATAGTGGTCACTTAAAAATTAGGGATTGAAGGTGAAAACGGGCATAGGACTACTGCCTCTCTTTTCGGGGATGACATAAAAGGACGGACAAATACACAAACGTCAGGCCTCCCCAACCCGTTTAGTGCAGCGTGGGAAGTGTAGCTAATGCCCCTAATTTTTAAGTGACCCCTATGGCAGTGTTTTTCAACCTTTTTCATGACGCGACCCCCCTAGCATGAAAAAAATTTTTGCGACCCCCCGGACCGTTCGCTTTTTTTCTTGCCTTTTACAAAGATGTTGTAGGGAACGAATTCTTCAATCTATACAACATTATATACATTTGCATAATTAGATTTCTCTGGTTTTTTTCCTGAGGTAGTTTTTACGACTTCTCGCGACTCCCCTATAGAGGGGGGACCCCAGGGGGTCGCGACCCACAGGTTGAAAAACACTGCCCTATGGTAACAACAGGAATTTTGTTTTTAAAGGGGTCACTTGGGATTAATGGTGAAAACGGGCATAAATCCTCCATTTACCTCTATTAACTAGAGCATTTGTTCCCAAACTTATTTGAGACGCGCTCCCTTTGCTCCTCCAGTCAAGATTATATTGGTCGTATCGAGCAGTCTGGAATGCATTCTCTCAGCGGTCGCAGCTTTTTTTTACTTGAGTACACAGATGGCCCGCGCCCCCCTGTAAAGGTCTTTGCGCCTCCCCTGGGCGGCGCACAGTGGTCTGAAAATGAAGCTCCCATACCATAGAAACTTAATGTCAGAAATTAATAAATAAAAATACGTATTGTGTTTAGTATACCTCCCATTGTTTTACTAATATAGTATAAGGCCTCAGCCTCGAACTTAGCGGGCAGCGGGGCGGCGGCGGCGGCGGCGCGGGAGCGGGGCGGGTAGCGCAGACCCGTTCTCGAAACCAGCGGGCAGCTCGCGCGGCGCTTTAGCGGCGAAGTGTTGTGTTCGGGGTTGTGTTGTCGAGATATTTGTTTTTATTCGCAAACGAAATGTCTGAACAACGGCGACAATTTTATTTCGAATTTAAATTTATTCCTAACCCTCGATTTATTGTGGGCAAAAGAAGGAGTGCGCTCCCCGCTCGATGCCCGCTCCCTCGCCGCTGCCCGCTCGTTGCCCGCTGCCGCCCCGCTGCCGCGCCGCTGTTTTCGAGAACCGGTCCATTTGATTTTACGCATAAGATCCTGCCGCTCCCGCGCCGCCGCCGCCGCCGCCCCGCTGCCCGCTAAGTTCGAGGCTGAGGCCTAAAGGGTATGAGTAGCTCCATGTGTGAGAAAAAAAATATTTTTATTTTTTTTGTATGGAAAAAAACACTTAAAGTGGATTTTTTTAAAACTGAATAGAACTGAAGGGCTGGTACTCACATGAGCTTTTGCACCATACATGGCGATCAAGATGGCATACAATTCTTGTGCCGTTGGGTGCCGCTTTGCATGTAGCAAGTTTTGGAAATTTTGAATTTTCGATAGGTGATCTTTCAAGTCTTTGATGTTATTTTATGAACTTATTAACCGCTTTCAATACGAGAATAGTATGTAAATTAATACTCATATAACTAGGAATATACTAGGGATATTTTTAAATATTTTTTATTTTGAAAATTACATATTTTATATGAAAAAATAAAAAGTTTAATCATTGAATGAAGTAACCAACCAGTTGGTAATTGACATTGTTATTAGTCACTAACCTGCTAATGACGTTTTAATGAAAATAATAGAAATCAATATTGATTAAATAAACAACTTAAAAAATTCGAACTGCCTAATAGGCCAATAGAATTACATTAGAAATCGGAAATAATTCTTACAAAAGATTTTATTGTTTTAATGGCTTCATTTGGTACCCATTAAGACTATCCTAAATTTTCGACTTCGACGGAGTTGTGTTTAAGTGGTGGGGGCCCCCGAAAGGGGCGTTTTTTCGGTTTTACGGTTATATCGCGTAAAGGACTTACCCTATCGAAAACTGGTCTTCATGACGGTTGAAGGGCATTTAATCCTGCATTGAATAAGACCAAATTCATATATTTTACCGTTCTCGTGCTTATCTTCGAAAAAGTACAAAATGTACGTATAATTAATGACCCTCTCTACGTCCAATGGCTCGTCACTCGCAGGCTCCCAAGCCTTGTAAAGGGCCGACTAAACCAGTTTAACCCTGTCAAGGCTTAAGAGTTGGATGCACCTATCCTTGTTCAGTCCAGCCGTTCCTTAACTGCGGTTATTGCACCTCTTCCTTGCACTCTCCTGAGCGACTCTGTGTTACCAGGCATCGATTAGACAACGTATCGAATGGCTGGGACGAACAAGGATAGGCGCATCTAACTCGTAAGCCTTGACAGGGTAAAACCTTGATCACACGTACCGAGTAAACGGGCGAGACAGTAAAATTTTTACTCGATCGAGACAGTGATGTAAGAGAGTGCTGTTCACACGTGTTTTGAAATTAGCACAGTCAGTTCAGTTCTATTGAGACTTTTCTTTTTCTCTAATCTGTGGAGGTGACGTCAATCATTTGGCCGAGTGGCGAGTGGCGAGACAGTGCACGTTCAGACCTGCCGAGCGAGCGAGCGAGACAGTGCGGGGCAGCGGGAGCATGGATACTCGGCCTAGTAAGTTGAACGGGAGTCGAGCTACTGTCTCGTCGCTTTGCTCGGCCGAGCACTCGGCCGATCACTCGGCGCTATAGCCTTGATCACACGTACCGAGCAAATGCGCGAGACAGTGCTCTTGGCTGAGCACTCGGTGTAATGTTCATACACATACACACCGAGTACTTGGCCGAGAGCACAGAATAAGTAATAGTACAGGTACAGAAGGATTACTCCGCACGACGATTTAAATAAATGCGAGTCTTGCTGCGACGCGATACAGTGGAATTCAGCTCGCACAGCACTACGTACCTACAATTTTATTCACCTACAAGTTTTGTCTCTTTCTATCGCGTGCCTCTGAACTCTTCTTACGCTGTTAGGGTTGCTGTCTAGTGAAAAAATAATTAATCTACTTATTTGTAATGAGGTACGTATGTAGGTACTAGGGCTTGCAAAATCGGATGGTTTTCAATTCCGGAACTGATTTCCGATATTGGGCACTCAACTCCGGAATTCCGGTTCTAGTTCCGGAGTTGGTTAAAAAAAGAAAGCGCCTCCCGACAAACACGTACCTACACGTATGTAGCCTCCACTTTAGAGCCTTGCCCCATTGGCCGTCTGTTCTACGTACTATGTGCACTGCTCATTGCCACTTTAGCTTGCTAATCCGATCGCTATATGTCAGGCGACTTTAGTTCGTTTACGAATCTCCTCATTTATGGTTCGATCTCGAAAAGAAACACCGAGCATAGCACTCTCCATACTATGGTGTGCAACTTTGAGCTTATTATAAGGTCTATAGTAAGAGGCCACGTTTCCGAACCGTATGTCATCACTACTGGTAACACACACTGATTGTAGACTTTCGTCTTTAGGCACTGAGGTGTTTTGGTCGAAAAGATGTTATGTAGTTTCCCGAACGCCCAGCCGAGTTGAATTCAACGTATTATTACATCTCCCTGCCTCACAGCTCGCTGCAGAGGAATCGCCCTCGTGCTCAGCCAGGCTCAAAGACCTTCTCATAGTCTAAGAACGTCAAGCATATAGGCAAGTTAGACTCTTCGGTCTTCTGTATAACCTGGCGTAGTGTATAGATGCGGTATATGGTAGTGTAAACTTTTCGATAACTGGCTTCCTCGAGAGACTATAAGTCATCGAACATACGCGCGAGACTATTAGTGATGGATCTCAAAAACAGCTTATAGACATGACTCAGAGTCAGAACCCAGATGGGTCTGTAATTGTAATGTACTGTAATGCTTTTACCCCTTTCTTAAATAAAAACACCACCAAGTCTTGTTCCGTGCCTCTGGCATTATTCCCTGGAGTAAGACGGAGTTACAGTCTCTGAAGGACTTTCAGTATCGGCTTATCACCAGCCGCGTTCAGAAGCTCCGAGGTTATTCCGTCATCACCCGGTGCCTTGTTGTTTTTTAGCTGTTTGAGAGCCATCCTAATCTCGTAAGGGCTGATGTCCGGGTCGGGATATCTTCGGTATAGTGTCGAGTTAGCTTAGCTCTTGGAACTATCCTGTGGCTGAGCTATTAACAGGTTTGGTGACTGAGGTAAAATATAGCTGTCCATAAAAATTGTTCGATCTCACCCAGAACCCTCAGCTTTTGTTGAATTTACACTATCATCCGCTGTCTTCAGCTGGCTTCGCCCATTAGGCCTCAGCCTCGAATTTAGCGGGCAGCGGGGCGGCAGAGGTAGCGGCGCGGGAGCGGCAGGATCTTATGCGTAAAATCAAATAGACCGGTTCTCGAAAACAGCGGCGCGGGAGCGGCCAACGAGCGGGCTGCGCACTCCTTCTTTTGCCCACAATAAATCGAGCGTTAGGAATAAATTTGAATCGAAATAAAATTGTCGCCGTTATTCAGACATTTCGTTTGCGAATAAAAACAAATATCTCGTCAACACAACCCCGAACACAACACTTCGCCACTAAAGCACCGCGCGAGCTGCCCGTTTGTTTCGAGAACGGGTCTGCGTTGCCCGCCTNCGGATGTACCGCGCGGAGTGAGCCAGGCCTGCCGAGAGTACTGTCTCGCCCGTTTGCTCGGTACGTGTGATCAAGGCATATGTTCATACGCACCGAGTACTCGGCCGAGAGCACTGTCTCGCCCGATTACTCGGTACGTGTGATCAAGGCTTTAATTATACGTACATTTTGTAGTTTTTCGAAGATAAGTACGAGAACGGTTTGTCCAAAACATATGAATTTGGTCTTATTCAATGCAAGATTAAATGCCCTTCAACCGTCATGAAGACCAGTTTTCGATAGGGTAAGTCCTTCATGCGATATAACCGTAAACCGAAAAAACGCCCTTTTCGGGGGCCCCCACCACTTAAGCACAACTCCGTCGAAGTAGAAAATTTAGGATAGTCTTAATGGGTAACAAATGAAGCCATTAAAACAATAAAATCTTTTGTAGGAATTATTTCCGATTTCAAATGTAATTCTATTGGCCTATTAGGCAGTTCGATTTTTTTAAGTTGTTTATTTAATCAATATTGATTTCTATTATTTTCATTAAAACGTCATTAGCAGATTAGTAACTAATAACAATGTCAGTTACCAACTGGTTGGTTACTTCATTTAATGATTAAACTTTTTATTTTTTTATATAAAATATGTAATTTTCAAAATAAAAAATATTTAAAAATATCCCTAGTATATTCCTAGTTATATGAGTATTAATTTACATACTATTCTCGTATTGAAAGCGGTTAATAACTTCATAAAATAACATCAAAGACTTGAAAGATCACCTACCGAAAATTCAAAATTTCCAAAGCTTGCTACATGCAAAGCGGCACCCAACGGCACAAGAATTGTATGCCATCTTGATCGCCGTGTATGGTGCAATAGCCCATGTGAGTACCAGCCCTTCAGTTCTATTCAGTTAAAAGAAAATCCACTTTAAATGTTTTTTTCCATACAAAAATAAATTAAATATTTTTTTTCTCACACATGGAGCTACTCATACCCTTCATACTATATTAGTAAAACAATGGGAGGTATACTAAACACAATACGTATTTTTATTTATTAATTTCTGACATTAAGTTTCTATGGTATGGGAGCTTCATTTTCAGACCACTGTGCGGCGCGCCCCCCACTTTGGGAACCAATGAACTAGAGGTTGTTATCCTGCAGTAGAGGCTAAATGTGGCAGTGGCAGTGGGCGGGGCACATAGCTCGAAGAGCTGATGGCCGCTGGGGCAGGAAAGTTCTTGAGTGGCGACCACGAGCTGGAAGAGGTAGCGTGGGCAGGCCTCCCACTAGGTGGACCGACGATCTGGTGAAGGTCGCGGGAAGTACCTGGATGCAAGCGGCGCAAGACCGGTCTTTGTGGAAATCCTTGGGGGAGGCCTTTGTCCAGCAGTGGACGTCTTTGGGCAAACGAACGAACGAGAGGCTAAATGACCTGATGATGAATATCAATTATTTGTTCCAACGTTGTCAACAGATATATTATCAAGATGGAGATAGAAATTGAGGAGCACGCCCCTTTTTGGCATGAGAGCGCGTCGGGTGCTCCTGCTAATACTGACGAAGAAACCATTGTTCCTGACGTAGAGCATCAGGTGAGATTACGTCATTTACTTCTTCTTGGGTTGGTGTTTGTTTCTTAATTAACTAAAAAAAATAATTAATTATCTTGCCGATAGTACGGTCTATTCCAATTTGATCACCCAGGTGATCAAAGTGGACTCCAGGAGACACTTTTGTGTCCTTTGATCACCCATGGATAAGTAAGTTTAGGTAAGTAAGTAAGATAAGATCAAAGTGGACTTCTTATTCATGGGTGATCAAAGGACACCAGTGTCGTTTGGAGTCAACTTTGATCACCTGGGTGATCTAATTCATGGGTGATCAAAGGACGCCAAAGTGTCGCCTGGTGTTCAGAATCACCTGGGTGATCAAAGTGGAATAGACCGGATAGTACAGGTTTCGTCAGGGATCGAATGAATCTTTTGGTAAAATTTTGCAAAGAAAAATTTAAATTGTCTAAAGTTTGGTTGCCGAGCACGTAGAATTTCGTCCAATGATCCCAAGCTACCCATCCTTATCGCTGCTCGCATGCGACGGCCGCAGTGAGTATGCGAGCGCGACAGCAATGTAATTACGCGAGCGATAAGGATGGGTAGCTTGGGGTCATTGGACGATATTCTACGTGCTCGGCGATCGGACTTGAATGTGTTGTTCTTTACATGCGTATTGACATTTTACTCTTGCTTATGGCTTGCAGTCTATGTCCTGGGAGGGGCGGGACGCGGGCGAAGAACAATCTGACTCCTGCACCATCACGGCGAGCACCTCGTCTAAACACAGTTCCAGGGTCAAAAGAGTGTCGAGTGATAAAACCAATGAGAAATACCCAAAGGCAAATAAGCGAGCGCGTAGAGCTGTGAAGAAGGAACCCAGTGATCAGAAGCGTCCAGTTCTGAAGAAGGGATCCAGTGATCAGAAGTGTCCAGTTGTGAAGAAGGGATCCAGTGATCAGAAGTGTCCAGTTGTGAAGAAGGGATCCAGTAATCAGAAGTGTTCAGTTGTGAAGGGATCCAGTGATCAGAAGTGTCCAGTTGTGAAGAAGGAATCCAGTGATCAGAAGTGTCCAGAACATTCTAGTGGTAGTGCGGCTCAAGGAATAAGTCATTCTCGGCAGCAAACGCGAAAAAGGCGTGGCTCTAAGGCGCGCTTATCGAAGACAGAAGATGTTGAAGATTGTATTAAAGCACATACAATTGACATTCCTCCAGAATGAAAAGTTTTTTCCTGATACGCAAGCAAATTTAAGTGACATTTGCTTAAAGGCGATCTTACCAGATCTACTCATTCATCAGAATTTTAATTGTTATCTCTAGTATCATTAGATACTGTTAAGTATTGATTTTGTGTTGTCAGATCTTTTGTTTTGAATTAATTTGATTTTTAATTTGGTAATGGTTAATGATGGCAGTAAAAAGTGTAATTGACTGAATTAAAACATACATTAAAAATATTTTTATAATTTCTTTATTTTATTTAAGAATACCTACCAATTATTATTCTTCTATCTTACTTCAAGTTCAACTCACATCCACTCCAGTATTATTCGTTTTGCTTTGTAGTCTCATCCCATGGGTTTTTGTAACATTATAAGGATATTTAATACCTACTGGGACGTGTAAAAATGCCTTTTAAAAGCCTACTTACAAAAATAACTGAATTTAATAAGGTATTTCGATTCAACACATGAAAAAGGGTACAACAAGGGGGCTTATTCCACTATTCCCCGTAGACAATCCCCGTCAACGGGGATTAATCAACTTTATGTTCACTATTCCCCGTTATATTAGGATTTTATGTTTAACATTATAAGCTGCAATTGGCGTTAACGGGGAATAGTGAACAAAAAGTTCACTAATCTCCGTTGACGGGGATTGTCAATGGGGAATAGTGGAATAAGCCCAACAAAGGTTTTAAAGAAAATGCATAATTTCGCTCGTATGTATTTTTTAATGAAATCAGACATTATGTTACAGTTTCATTTAAAATTACAATTTTCTCGCATCGCGTTAACTATCGCCACGTACCGCGAATGCTGTGCGCACCAACTAGTTTCTTTAGTGGAAAGTTTACCTCATACTAAAATACTGGTAAAGATTGCTATTGATCGTTTCATCCACGAAGACAAGACCAATTTTGGTCGAGGGAAGCGCGGGGCGCGAGGAGTTTGATCCGAGCAATCCGAGCGTCATCATTGTAGTTTGCACGCGCACTCACGGACAACTATCCAATGAGGGTGTTCGCGATTGAAAAATCCGCCAGATGGCGGGACGTGGATGTAGGGTCTGACTGCTGCGTGATTGGTGGATTTTGACACATCTGTCAATGTCATGTCAAAAATAACCAATCATGCAGCATTTGGACCTCGCGTCTACGTATTGCCATCTGGCGGATTTTTCATTCGCGAAAACCCTCATTGCAACGCTGCCAATGCCAACAATGACGTTCGGATTTGTCGGATCAAACTCCCTGCTCCCCGCGCTTCCCTCGACCAAAAATGGTGGGGCGCGACTTCGTGGATGAAACGATCTATACTTAGATAAGGAGTTATATTAAAAAGAAAACATAACATTGAGTCAATGATGTATTTGAAACAGATTTATTCAGTTTTTAGGAACTTTAAAATTAAGCACAATTTAAACTTCCCCTTCACACTGGCTGGTGCAACGCAGCGCAAAATTTAACGAATTTTATTATACAATAAATTACATTATTAGTTTACAATCGCATCGCACTGTATAATTCGATTTTATTTGAAACGCCTCTCTCACAGTCAGTCTTTAAAAATAATTTACCAAAACTGAAAGGTTTATACAGTTAACAATTTATACGTCTTTTGGTCTATCTTTTTAATATCAAGTCCCACAGTTTCGGGTATTATTTTTGTATTACAGCTATCTAATGTGTGATACACATAATGAGTGATCTTTTAACACATTAACTAAATTGACTTAGTCTTCAGCTTTGGTAAATTCAGTCCAGACAAACCTGGGAGGCCACACTCAAGTTTATACATCACGCTTAGATTCATCGAATTTAATAATTTTACATTAAAGTACAGTTAAATTCAAGTTTTGTTCATTCTATGCCAAATAACGCAAGATTTTTCAGTGAACTCAATATGTTTCAAATACTGAACCGATCAATACAACGGGTTCAATTTTATTTTCTTATTAATCACTAACATAATTATTTTATTTGTGTAAAAATTTGGCACATAACGAAATATCTATTTGGCTAAATATTGTTAAGAGGCGTACGTAAGTCTCGCACTATTTGGGATAAAATTCACTAGTTCGAAGCAAAATTGAAACTCAATCGAACATAAACGACGTCTCTTACTGTTTTAAACTAAACATCTATTAGGGCGCCGTGTCCTTACGTTTCACTCCTCTTAACCACATTATTGGGAATATTGGGAACTCTATTATCTTGTATTAAGATACAAAAACTGAACATTTCTTGTCCAATTCCCCGTGATGAGGCGTATGTTCGTAAACTAAGGGATTCGAGCGATCAAACGCGATTCGACGCAGCGCCCTAGTGGACGTAAGCCTTTATTGTAACATAGTGGACTACAATCTTACTTCCAATTCAGTTCACACGGTCAGACCCCACGTACATTACATTATATGTACAAGTTATTTACGACATACGAATATCACAGAGCAAAATAATACTGAACGAGTGAATTTGATGCTAGAGTAAGATCAAATGTTTTTGGAGATTTATATGTAGTTAAATTAGTTAACCCGGTGATGTGTTGAAAAATAGTAGATCTGCTCGTCTATTCCCGGTTGTTGACACTGAGGATAAATGGGAAAAATAAACCCGATTGTCAGCAGTGGCGATGTACTATAACACATACTTTCCCAGTTGTAAAAAAAAAATGTATTTATTGCCTTCGAACCATTAGACAGGTACAGGTAGTTAGACTTACAACTATAATAATATGAAGTACACCGAAGGCAATTGGACCTGGCTCAGTCTACGTTGTAAGGAGAGATCCTTGCAACACTGGTTTTCAGCCATGCCCATTCTCTAGGATGTTGAGCGAGAATAATTGTAAATTTTGAATTGTAGCTACAGGCTTTCTCACCACTGGTGACAAACGAGAAAAAATCGCCAGTGGGGACGTACGACTAAAATATTGTCGCAAATGTCACACCATGCATGAACATACGCAAAATAAAAGTCAAGTAAGACCGTCTGCGTACCTGAACATATAGCAAATTGTTCGGTTTTTAAACAAAAAATCTTTATAACAAATATTTGTCTTCAGTGACATAATATATTACGTATATGCCTTAATTCATCCAAAAACATTTGCTAAATGAGCTATAATAATAATGAATAGTTCCTAGGAAGACGTAGACATGTAATACTACAATATAGGTTTAACACAAATGCAAATAACAAAGTGGGATTCATTTTAAACTAAGTTTCAGATACCATTGGACTGCTGTAGGTATTATTTATTATTTTTAGGGTTTTGCTACTGAGCTCCTATGCTGATAGGAGGTATTGAGAGAACTTTTTGATGTTTTATTGTCTTATACAGCTTTGGTCTTTCCGATTTAGTCATTATTATAGAAGACCATTGAGGGATGATAGAAGGGGGAGTCACAAAAGATCACAATAGGCTAGTTTCCTAAAAAAAAAAACTTAGTCCGCCAATTACATTATCAAAAAATATTGCACACGTAGATTTTTTGAATGACGTCATAGGCCTGTTCTTTTGAACTTTGGCGCACTTAATCTCTTTTAATTTTTCATTAGTTTGAATAAGAAGCATACGTAACGAGTATTTTTTGATAAGTTAACCGATGGACTAATTCAAACTCTTGCTTTTATCCAGGAAACATCCCTATTGGTTGTAGCGAGAAACACTTTACCGTGAAAACACAATGGCATCTGATTTGGGTTTACCACAATAACTTAACAACTAAACTCACAAGCCTTAAAAGAAAAGGATTTATTCATAATGAACGTTGTTTTATCATTATACTATTTCACAATGACACTTACTTCCAATATCAGTTTTGAGATCAGTGTACCTACCATGAGTTTACGTTAGGTGTGCTCGCTAGCGAGTACGTCAAAAATCTCTATGAAGATTTTGTTTCTTGAAAGTAGCCGCTAGGGGCGCTGCACAATATGTCATACAATTAATGTCATTTTTTTACGCAGTCGCTATCGAGCACACCTAACGTAAACTCATGGTAAGTACACAGTTAGATATGCGACTAGATTTAAATTAACCATTTTGTCTAAGTAATAAGTCCACACAAAAGTATGGAGTAATTTTTAATCAATAAAATTATAAATACGTACACTCATAGCGTAATCTATGGTTTCACCGAATAAAATTATAATGGTCATACCAAAAACAATTTAAAGTAATAATAATAAACACTTTATTTTTTTAAATAACTTTCAGCGGCTGGGCCAAAACAATTCACTTTTTAAAATTTTGAATAACGTTAAAAATTTGGCACGAAAAATTTTCTGAACTCTGTAAAATTCCCTCGTTTTCTAAATTATATTTATGTACTAGCTACTGGCACGCAAATGAAGATCAATATTTAAAAACGAGTACACGCAAGCCCGATTCAAAGTAGTGCGAATTACTACGTTAGTCTCCCGAGCTTACGTGCGACTCTTAAGGAAGCCTAACGATTCGTAAAGTTAAATTAAAGTGTTCGAATATCGAAACGCCCGCTTAAGCAAACGTCTCATACCACTAAAATCCTGGCAAGACATAATACAACGACCTAAAGCCTGGCGTACATTAGGATACCAGATCGAATTATGATCTTAGTGAAAAAACATTTTGTAATTGTTCCCACTTTGGTAAAATCGGCAAAAGAGGTTGATTAGAAGTTAAATTTATTGTATTTTATATACCATTAGTCTGTCGCCATAACAACAATGTTAACAGCATATTGTTGTGTTCCGGCAGTTAGAGGTAAGATAGCCAGTTCCTCCGTGGTTGAGGATTCCGGGTGAAGCTCGCTTCTACCTTCGGCCTGATCATCACTTACCATCATGTGAGATACAGGCCAAGAGCTTCCTCGTTGTGGATAAAAAAAACATTGTGGTGCCATCGTTCGTTCGTTCATCGTTTCAGCCAAATGACGTCCACTGCTGGACAAAGGCCTCCTCCAAGGATTGTGGTGCCATTTAGTGCATAATATACAACACAGTCAAGTTAACTGCGCACCTGGCGAATCGCATTCCAGCGAAGTGCACAGTTAGCTCAATTGAAAGTTACTTAGCATTTCGAGGTAAGTACTAAATAAACATGTTTCTAATGTAGCCAGGGCAATATGAATATTTACAATGAGTACGTGTATGGTATGTCTTGCCGCGGTTTGTATGACGCGTATGAGACTCCGAATTTAGAATTTCTCGTTAACGTAACCTATCTACGGCCGATCGAAGCGGCCCCTATACAATATCTACAAAGAAGCCCGAAGCTCAGTATTGGCGGAGTGGACACAACAATAATAGTGACAACTGTAAACTTATTGAATCATGTGCAAATGTAATAGGAGCTGATTTGCATCAAAAAAGTTTTAGATTCGTCAAAATGATGGCTGCAACAAAAATGCCTGAGCCAGGCATTTTTGTTTTATTAAGTAACTAGCTGTGCCCGCGACTTCGTCCGCGTGGAATAATGACTTTGGGTAGGCACTTTTAATAATTTAGTCTAATTATTTTACAAATAGCTTTTGCCCGCGACTTCGTCCGTGGAGAAGTCGAAAACGTTCTCATACGATTATTTTTAAATGTTTTAACGTTATTATCTAAATGTTTGAATACTTTTAAAATATAAAAATCAGGTTAAATAAACATGAAAATATTTTTTTCTTATATTTTATGAATATGCAGCTCGGCCTTTGATCCGGTGAAAGTTACTCGGTGGTATTATTTTTTTACAACGAAATCGAAAACTACACCTACCGCAGTATTATTGGTAAACTTTTTTTTATATTTTCCTACGGGTGCTAGAATTACCAAGCTTCCAGCATGCCACTGGCCGTGGGAGAAGGAGCTTTTCCTCAAGACTACTCCCACTACCTCAAGGGCCTCCGCCAAAACTCTCGCGCGAAAATGAGTTTATGTATACAGCGCAAGCAGGTGCCCGCGGCATGACTTTCATGCATTACTATGCATTGTTGGGCGAGCGCACGCAGCGGCCTCACTTAACCACTCCGAGGTTAAGTGAGGCCCCTAGAGTATGGTAGTCGTTAACATGACGTCATGATTGTAAAAAAATGCACTAATGAGTAATTAATATCAACTTTGAAGCAAATCACCACTAAAATAACTTTCTACCCCTTTTTAACATAGTTAGGGGGTGCATTTCACTAAAATACGAAACACGTCTTCCATTAATTCTGTTATAGAATGCTTATGCAAAATTTTAAGTAGATTGGACGAAGGAATCTCGTTATTTCATACAAACTTTGCCCCTCCTTTTTACCTCCTTAGGGGTAGAATTTTGGAAAATCCTTTCTTATCAGATGCTTACGTCATACAAAGAACACACCGTCCAAGTTTCAGGTCTTTACGATCAGCGGTTTAGGCTGTGCATTGATCCATCAGTAGCGCGCGTAGTACTTGATCATTATTTTGCTGCGATGTGATTTTAAAACTGCGATATCTCCTAAGATATTTATTGAAATCGAATGGTGTAAAGGGCAAGAATATTTAAAATTAAATACTTGTGATGAATAACTTATTTATTTGGATAAGGATTAATATCATGTTTATGAAAAAACCTCCGCAAATAATGCATTAATATAAAACAGATTTTTTTTGCATAAAAAGGGTTACTATGAGCCAACCTTAAAAGATAGACATATACTATCGCGGACTTTTTTTTAGAACTTTTAAAGGGGAACAATCCTGTCATACATGATTTTTGCGAAACTTTAACCGTTTACGCAGCGTCAGCTCTCAAAAGGAAAAAAATCACTGATTTGAAACATTCTTCATTGGTGCTCCGCTCCTATTGGTCTTAGCGTGATGATATATAGCCTAAAGCCTTCAGGAACTAACGGGCTATCCAACACAAAAAGAATTATTCAAATCGGTCCAGTAGTTCCTGAGATTAGCGCGTTCAACCAAACAAACAAACAAACAAACAAACAAACAAACTCTTCAGCTTTATAATATTAGTATAGATAAATAAAGTACATCAAACCAAACCTCATGGTTTTTTTGTGTTTTTAGCTAAGTGCTGTGTAATATCATTTTTAACAGACTTCAACAAAAGGAGGAGGGTTCTCAATTCGGTTGGTTACGTTAAAAAATCGAGAAATGGAACCTTTTACAACTTCTGAGTTAAGAAGACATTGGAAAACCCACCAAATTATTGAATTTTAAGTTAGGAGCCGGGGTCGGTTCACAAATAAAGCCTGGTCTGTGAGCACGTACAATTTTGTCCAATGACCCCAAGCTACCCATCCTTATCGCTCGCACACTCACTGCGGGTGCCAGTCGCACAATCGCGACAGCAATATAATTACGCGCGAGCGATAAGGATGGGTAGCTTGGGGTCATTGGACAAAATTCTACGTGCTCGCAGACCAAACTATAGAAAATAATATTTTATCCACTATTATTGTTACATCCACCGCGCTATCGAGATAATAAAAAACGCAACTATCCACCTACGTGTAAAAGCTATAACTTCAAAGTCTACAGCAAATTGTAAAAGACTAATTTAATTAATTGGCCCATTTATAAGTTTCGTCCTAACACTAACCTAGGTCGCGCAGTCAGTGGCCTCACCGCGAGCGGGGCGGTCCATGTACGGCCGCGGCTTCACTGAGCGCTGGCGACGGTTTACGACTACAATCTGTCATGCCTTTGATTTATGTGAAAATCGCCAATGCCAATTTAATGTGGTAGCTATCTTCAGGTCAGGTTTCACAATTAAGTATTTCAAAGATGTGATTTCGACTGTAATTGATCGGAATAAGGTTTAAAATCAAATGTTTAGTTTAGTTCCAAGTTGATGGATTAATAGGCAGTTTAGGCAACAATACCGTATTTTGTAAACACATGAGAATTTGACGAGACTATATTTTGATTCCCAAGATTAAGCAAAGTAGGCGTGGCCTAAGATATTATTACCATATAAGGCTGTGTTTAATATGTATCTCTCTGTTTGTAATTCAATGAGGGATTTCGCGTATGAAAGATCCGCTAGATGGCGGGACGTGAATGTGGGGTCTGACTGCTGCGTGATTGGTGGATTTTGATATATCTGTCAATGTCATGTCAAAAATAAGCAATCATGCAGCATTTGGACCTTGCGTCTACGTATTGCCATCTGGCGGATTTTTCATACGCGAAAACCCTCATTATAGATAGGCAATAACATCGTATTTGTCACATAAATCAACGGCTCAGGCAGTAGACCGATCGCTCAGGGCTCTCAGTGGTCCAGCGGTCCGGGACTACAATAGGGCAGTCCATAGCTCGGTCGGTAGGTAGTCTGTTCTCTGATCAGTAGTCTACACTGGCTAGCGGTTAGGGTTGCCAGGCGATTAATACCTGTCAGCTTGCATGGATAGATTTGATTTTATGATTTGTTTTAATAATTAAATTCAACCAACGATGGTGATGTTTATATTTTAGTTAAGCTAGAAGTTTGAACAAGAATGCTACGGATTTTGGTTAGGTTTTTAGATGTTTTACCGATCCATTTATTTAACTTTTCCACGCACTCGTGACCGATTGAATTCTCATATGTGAATTATTTTTCATGATGAAGATCCTTAATTACATCGTAATCTAAATATCCGATTGAGCAATCAAGTATCTGAATTTCCGGTTTCAAGGCCTGGCAACCCTAATCACTTTGCTCTTCGTACACTATATACAGGGGTGAGCAAAATACGGCCTGCGTAGGGCTTTAATCCAGCCAACGATTTTTGTAGGAGTATTATTCTATCAACATAGGTTTGAGATTGAACTGACTTTTAATATGGACCAGACTATAGTCTGTCATCAAGTTCATATTCAGTAGCTTTATCATGAGTTTACACGAAACGCCTAAAAAAAATTATGACGATTTTAGTCTTTGAGAGTAACCGTTAGGGGCGCTGTACAATCACTTAGGAGCACGCCTAATGTAAACTCACGGTAAGCACACAGAAATACGAACTAAATACTGTCCCATTCGTCGGCTAGATTTGGCCCCGAAAACTTTTAAAATATCCACCCCTATACTAAACGCTCGCGCGAGTGGAAGGCATAGTGAACGTCAGGGTATCATTCACGAAGTACTGATCCTGCTCCTCTTCATCAGGCAAATAATATCCATAACTACCGTCATTCGACTCGGTGTCGGCGTGAGGGTTCTTTGGCAACTGGCAGTTGTAGTCCTCCCATCGGTGTTCCGGAGATTTTCTCCGTTTCGCGAACAACATGGATCCGTCGAACGCGTATTCGTCGTCGAAATGCAATACTGCGTCGTCGTAGAAGTAGTTTTCTACGCGTTTGTTGGCTGTGTTCCTGGAATAGGAATGGGGTGGTTAGAAGGTTGACAATATTTTGAAGAAAACATAATGAGAATGCACTGATGTATGTATCAATTTCTTGAAGCATCAGTGCTCATATTCCATGCGTCCATTAATTATGGTTACAGAGTCAAACACAGATTTCGGCCTATGTAGTTGGAGTTGGGGCGATGTTGCAACAAGTGGTGGATGTGCTGTGATTGTACCTAAATGGACTATCAACCTACCTTGGCTTGCTATATCTGGAGTAGTTCCTCACTTTTCTAGAGGCAAGGAGAAGCTGCAACTAGTGTGTCTCTAAGGGGAAAGGAGACGCTGCAAAATTGCTGATGAGGTCACCTTCCTAGTTATGTTTGCAGCAGTTTCTTCCTCCTCTGAGAGGATAGGGAATTTTGAAGCTGGTGTAACCTTGAACTTTTGACGTTAGCATCTTTCTAGCTACGTTTTGGAGCAGTTCCTGTTATGTTTTGGAGCAGTTCCTGTTATGTTTTGGAGCAGTTCCTGCTGTTTTGGAGCAGTTTCTGCTGTTTTGGAGCAGTTCCTATTATGGTTTGAAGCAGCTATATTTTGGAGCAGTTTCTGCTCTGTTTTGGAGCAGTTTCTGCTCTGTTTTGGAGCAGTTCCTGCTTTGATTTGGAGCAGCAGTTCCTGCTTTGTTCTGGAGCATTTTCTCTCTTCTCTGAGGCAACATCAGAAGCTGAAAATGGCGCTAGCTTCAATTTAAGATATTATCACCTACCTAGCTATATTCTTGAGCAGCTTCTTCCTGGCGTAGGACGACTTCTCGGAGTCGTACAGCGACACAGCGACGACGGCGGCGACTCGCGCGGCGCCGACGCGCGGTACCCGAGTAGTTGCTCGTTGTTGTTGAGGCGTCTTATGTAGGTGGAATAGGTGCGATTTTGCAACGAAAATGGCTGATGTGCCGTTGAATGTACCTGAATGGGGCATTAACTTACCATGGTATGTTCTGGAGTACTTCCTCAATTCTCTGAGGGAACAGTAGAAGCTGCTACTGGTGCGGTGTGACCTTAAGTGTCTGATGAGGTCACCTATCTAGTTTCGTTTTGGAGGAGTTTCTTCCTTCTCTAAGGGGATTGGATTATAAGCTGTAACTGGCGTGACGCTAAGTTTCTAAGTATGTTATGGAGCATTTTCTTTCTCTTTTAGATCCCCCCCGATCTTAAGTAGTGGTGCCTTACTTCTCTAGAGTAGATAAGAGCAGCTGACACTGGTGCTATCTTGACTCAATGATATGGACACTGACCTGGCTATGTTCTGCAGCAGTTTCATTCTTTTTTGAAGAGACTGGAGACGTTTCCCCGCCGTCACTAGCTTGAATCTATATGGGCACCTTCCTAGCTTTGTTTTAAAGCAGATTCTCTCTTCTCTGAGGGTATGTCAGAAGCTGAAAATGACGCTATCAATATCAGTACCTACCTAGCTATATTCTTGAGCAGCTTCTTCCTGGCGTAGGACGACTTCTCGGAGTCGTAGTCGTCGACGAGCGGGTCGCGGCTGCGCGCGGCGCGCGACCACAGCGACGACGGCGGCGACTCGCGCGGCGCCGACGCGCGGTACCCGAGTAGTTGCTCGTTGTTGAGGTGTCTTATGTAGGTGGAATAGGGGCGATTTTGCAACGAAAATGGCTGGTATGCTGTCGAATGTTCCTGAATGGGGCATTAACCTACCTTGCTGTGTTCTAGAGGAGTTCCTCACTTCTTTAGAGGCAAGGAGAAGCTGCAACTGGTGAGACCTTTAGTATCTGAAATCGGCATTTTCCTAGTTATATTCTGGAGCAGTGGTTGATATGTTTTGGAGCACTTCTTGGCTATATTTTGGAGCAGTGCCTGCTATATTCTGCAGCAGTTCCTGTTATGTTTTAGAGCAGTTCCTGATGTTTTGGAGCAGTTCCTATCATGGTTCGAAGCAGCTATATTTTGGAGCAGTTTCTGCTGTTTTGGAGCAGTTCCTATCATGGTTTGAAGCAGCTATATTTTGGAGCAGTTTCTGCTCTGTTTTGGAGCAGTGCCTGCTATATTCTGCAGCAGTTCCTGTTATGTTTTAGAGCAGTTCCTGCTGTTTTGGAGCAGTTCCTATCATGGTTTGAAGCAGCTATATTTTGGAGCAGTTTCTGCTGTTTTGGAGCAGTTCCTATCATGGTTTGAAGCAGCTATATTTTGGAGCAGTTCCTGGTATGTTTTGGAGCAGTGCCTGCTATATTCTGCAGCAGTTCCTGTTATGTTTTAGAGCAGTTCCTGCTGTTTTGGAGCAGTTCCTATCATGGTTTGAAGCAGCTATATTTTGGAGCAGTTTCTGCTCTGTTTTGGAGCAGTTCCTGTTTTGATTTGGAGCAGTTCGTGCAACGTTCTGGAGCAGGCAGTTCCTTCCTTTTCTGCGGGGATAGGGGAGGCTGAAACTGGCACTACATTATCGACACCTACCTAGCTATATTCTTGAGCAGCTTCTTCCTGGCGTAGGACGACTTCTCGGAGTCGTAGTCGTCGACGAGCGGGTCGCGGCTGCGCGCGGCGCGCGGCCACAGCGACGACGGCGGCGACTCGCGCGGAACCGTGCAGGAGCTAGTTGTTTGAGGCGTCTTATGTACGTGGAATAGGGGCGATTTTGCAACGAAAATGGCTGATGTGCTGTCGAATGTACCTGAATGGGGGAACAACTTACTTAGGTATGCTCTGGAGTAGTTCCTCACTTTTCTAGAGGCAAGGAGAAGCTGCAACTAGTGTGTCTCTAAGGGCAAAGGAGACGCTGCAAATATCTGATGAAGTCACCTTCTTCCTCCTCTGAGTATCCAAGTTTGAAGCTGATGTAACATTAAACTTCTGATGTCAGCACCTTCCTAGCTACATTTTGGAGCAGTTCCTGTTATATTTTGGAGCAGTTCCTGCTATTTTGGAGCAGTTCCTATTATGGTTTGAAGCAGCTATATTTTGGAGCAGTTTCTGCTGTTTTGGAGCAGTTTCTGCTGTTTTGGAGCAGTTCCTGCTTTGATTTGGAGCAGCAGTTCCTGCTTTGATTTGGAGCAGCAGTTCCTGCTTTGTTCTGGAGCATTTTCTCTCTTCTCTGAGGCAATATCAGAAGCTGAAAATGGCGCAAGCTTAATTCTATGTACCTAGCTATATTCTTGAGCAGCTTCTTCCTGGCGTAGGACGACTTCTCGGAGTCGTAGTCGTCGACGAGCGGGTCGCGGCTGCGCGCGGCGCGCGACCACAGCGACGACGGCGGCGACTCGCGCGGCGCCGACGCGCGGTATCCGAGTAGTTGCTCGTTGTTGAGGTGTCTTATGTAGGTGGAATAGGGGCGATTTTGCAACGAAAATGGCTGGTGTGCTGTCGAATGTAGGTACCTGAATGGGGCATTACCCTACCTTGCTATGCTCTGGAGTAGTTCCTCACTTTTCTAGAGGCAAGGAGAAGCTGCAACTGGTGTGACCTTTAGTATCTGAAATCGACACCAGCTGCCTAGCTATATTCTGGAGCAGTTCCTGATATGTTTTGGAGCACTTCTTGGCCATATTTTGGAGGAGTTCCTGGTATGTTTTGGAACAGTTCCTGCTATATCTGGAGCAGTTTCTGCTTTGTTTTGAAGCAGTTTCTGCTGTTTTGGAGCAGTTTCTGCTGTGTTTTGGAGCAGTTTCTGCTGTTTTGGAGCAGTTTGTGCTGTTTTGGAGTAGTTTCTGTTGTGTTTTGGAGCAGTTTCTGCTGTGTTTTGGAGCAGTTTTTGTTGTGTTTTGGAGCAGTTCCTGGTATATTTTCTAGCAACTTTTGCTACGTTTTGGAGCAGTTGCAATGTTCTGGAGTAGTTCCTTCCTTTTCTGCGGGGATGGGCGAAGCTGAAACTGGTGCTACCTTGTCTCTATAATAGCACGTACCTAGCTATATTCTTGAGCAGCTTCTTCCTGGCGTAGGACGACTTCTCGGAGTCGTAGTCGTCGACGAGCGGGTCGCGGCTGCGCGCGGCGCGCGACCACAGCGACGACGGCGGCGACTCGCGCGGCGCCGACGCGCGGTATCCGAGTAGTTGCTCGTTGTTGTTGTACCTGGATAATGAAGACATTTTATAGCCCATTTAGGCTGTATGCTAGTTCCCAAAGGTTCCAAGGGAGGCGCTAAGACCTTTAAAGGGGGGCGCGGGCCATCCATGTAGGTATTAAAAAACCTGCGACCTCTGAAAGAATACTTTTTAGACTGCTCGATACGACCAATAATCTGGAGGATGGGGGCGTGGATATTTTCATGGCGCATCTCAAATAAGTTATAGAACTCCTAGCTGTATGCTAAAACTTGAGAGATTGCACCGAGCGATCGCGTGAATCCCATCTGCGTCTGCGTCACATAGCGGTGCTCAAAACGCGCGTCGATCGCGCGTGCAAAACAATACAAAGAGATGTGACTGTAGCAGATACTATGTACACTTTATTGACACACAGTCGTCTTTTGATTTAGCAAAGGATAAGATATTTTATAATAGTAAACGTAGTCAGTAGTCATCAATGTGTATTAAATTTCAATTTCTTTGGACCTAATGTTAAGGTAACTAATTGGTGACTAGTCTAATGAAATGGGCTTAAGGATTATGGTTCTAATGGTGTTCACAAACTACTAATGCTTATTCTATATTATTGTGCATCTGTGTGTCCCAAACGCTTACTACGTTAATATACATAAACATCACATTAATAATCATATTCGTATCTACAAACAACAGCGGAAGCATGAAATTAGAAAAGTAAAAATTTAATACAAAATTGTGTGGTAAATATTATACATAGCGAATGCTAAGCTAGCTTTTTAAATTTTTCTTGTGTCACAGCAGCTTTAGCATGAGATCAACAAAAAGAACGAACGAATTAACAACAAAAGAATTAACGTAAATTGGTTTGTGATGGATATTTCTCTGACATACGAGATTTTTTGTGTGATACATTTAAACAAAGTTAGAAGAAAATGGGCAAAGTAACGAATAGTGCTTATACACAAAGCATAAAGTGTTGTTTGCAAATACATACACATACCTGATATCATACATCATCATGCCCTTCCGCAGCTGTTCCCGTCTCTTAGCGACCATCTCCCTAAAATCTTCAGGATCGAACTGGAAGTCGTTCCTCGCGTTCATATACAGGTATCCCGACGCAGAGTTCAGTCTTAAGGATTGGGAGCGATCTTTGGAGGACGACTTTTCTATGTACCGGGGAATGCTGCCAAGTTCCCGGTACGCTTTGGATTTTATGTGCTTTATGTTGGTAGGAGGCACTGGTGACAGCGGGTCCCGGTAGGGGGCGTTGGATCTGAAATGAAGGGGGGTTTGGAGGCTACGAAGGTTGGGGTGAGCAGACGATATAATATAAAGAATGTACAATAGATATCTGAGCTTTGGTTTAATCACTTTTCATGAAGAACAAGCGGCGTCTTTGCTCATATCAATTTTCATGATAGAGATCAAGAGGCGTATGACGAACGGTGAGTAATACTCAATAAATTGTTTTAAAAATCTTTACATTACTAAACTGTAGTAAGTACTGAATAGTGGCACACACAGAATGGCATCTTGAAACGGTAAAATTAACTTCACCGAATCCAAGAGAAAAACAGTACCAAGTACCGTTTTTATTGCGCAATTTATTTTTTATTGCCAGAATCAAATCTCATTCAGTGATTTAGTTGCCATAAAAATAATTATACTTCTTATTCATATAAGAAACTATTAAAGTAAAAGTATATCATCTGCTCATTCATTCCGGATATATGGGTGGTTCTACTTTTAGAGTCCATCACAAAAATAAGGTTGTCCCCACAATAACGAAGGTTAATACTTAATACAAAATGAAGAAACTATCATTTATTTTATTTAAATAAAGTTAATAACACCTGTTTAGATTATCTAGTTACACTAAGTTTCAATTACAATTTAACTGTGTTAAAAAAATGACTTCAAACTTTTATAACAAAGCTAAAACGGCATGTCCCCATTAGGTGTTGCTTAGAACTATTACGTTTTTTAGAAATAATTTGTTGAAGCCACACAATTATTTTTAAATAAAAAGAGATATACATTGTTAAACATGGTAACTACAAAGTTTAATTTTATTTATCTGTAAAAATATATTTTTTTGGTGTGACGAAAGATTGTCCCGAAAATTGGAGTATCCATCGTCACGAACAGTCAAATATTAAAATAAGTTCTTAAAAAATACGTGAGTAGATCACGTTTTTTAGTAAAACGAAAGGCCATAGACCATAGAGTATAGAACGAAACTCAAATCAAGTGTTTAACATAGCCAGCTTGTCACTTCTTTTACATCAAGCACGAAAACGGGCGGCGTGTGTTTATTGGGCGTATCCTTAGTCACAGCGGTTTTTGGTATTTATTTAACGAATTTTAAATTGTTTTACTGTAAACATGATTTGTTTTTATGTAATCTTTAAGATAAAGTATAGTTTTCGATCCAAATTATCGTTATTTACGATTATTATTGATCTTTTTGGAAAATTGTATACTTCGTCACACGTATCCTTCGTAACAGGTGATCCTACATCTAAACGATGTGTCCTTTGTGCAGTTAGATAATATGTTAAGAATACTAAAAACACCTCAGAAAAAGGTATACGAATTTTGTATTCGTTTAGTAACCAGTTGAAGCAGCTTTTGAAATGTTTTTTTTTCCTTAATACTCTTAGTTTCAGTTCCTATTTGTGTAGGTTTTTGCTGATTTTCCTCATATTTTTCATTATCTATTTTAGTAATAAGCAAAGATATGCCTGTGCTTAATGAAAAATGGCTGAGACACTCATTAGTTTTCAAGTTAGATTGATTATTAATTGTTAGATGTCTACTTCATCACATTTACGTCTCCTTCGTAACGAAGAGTTTGATCTCGTCCCCTAATAAATATTATCTCTTAAACAACAAAAATGAGAGTGTTATTTTTTTTGTAACTCATTTTATGTCGGTTTTTAGTGTGTTATAGGTACTACTTTTTCAATATAACTTTATAAAAGAGAAAAATAATTGATTTTTGTTAAGTTTTAAAGGTGTAAATGTGACGAAAGGGACAAACTGTTGATTTTTATGGAATTGTTACCTGATTAAATAACGATTAACTACCAATTGTCCAAGACTGATTTAAGCTGAGATTTTGTAATAATAAATGCAAATATCTATTGAAATTTCTTTTAATTTATCGAGTTTTAAACAACTGAATTTCGTGACGAAGGATACATTTTTTTCCATCTTAGTCTAGTAAAACGCAAAAAAATATAAGTTTTGATAAAAAACTGAGCTGCTGGTCTACAGATACCGAATCTATGGTAATTTTCCTACATTTCAGTCGTATGAAATGTACTAAATAGCTTTCTTTATTTTTTTTCATGGTTAGGACCTTAAAAGTAGAACGACCCAACTATATTATAGGGGCTCACACAGGGCACTACAATAAAAACCTTACCATAATAACAAACACTAAACTTGATAAATCAGTCCCTTTTGTTGTTTTGCATACATAGGTCAACATCTAAAACTAAATGATTTCTAGTCTCTATTTACAACTGTTAATAGGTTTTATCTACATTTTCTTTACATTCGATTGTTAGTTCTGGATTTTTACAGTGGTCAGTGTTACGAGCATCGAATACCGCCGACGGGCCACTGACCACCAAAAGACGGGGTGAGCCTTGTGCGCATTAGTCGAGTAATTTAGTACTTTAATAGCTAAACGTGTCCGAAAACCAATATAGTTGAGTAGGTTACTAAATCGTTTAGTCGAACTAATACAACGAGTAACGCATCCCTGCTCACTCGCTTACGCTAAATGAGTCCGAACCGGGCGGTATAGTCGAGTTCATATCAAAACCACTTTGTAAATACTCGACCAAAGTGCGAACAGTTTTTTGGTCATTAGCGAGTAGTTTACATGTCTAGCGTTTAACTCAGTCTGTGCCTGAGGGAGCGGCACGGGAGGGGTCACATTTAGGCCTCAGCCTCGAATTTAGCGGGCAGCGGGGCGGCGGCGGCAGCGGCAGGATCTTATGCGTAAAATCAAATAGACCAGTTCTCGAAAACAGCGGCGCGGGAGCAGGCAACGAGCGGGCAGCGCACTCCTTCTTTTGCCCACAATAAATCGAGCGTTAGGAATAAATTCGAATCGAAATAAAATTGTCGCCGTTGTTCAGACATTTCGTTTGCGAATAAAAACAAATATCTCGACAACAAAACCCCGAACACAACACTTCGCCGCTGAAGCGCCGCGCGAGCTGCCCGCTTGTTTCGAGAACGGGTCTGCGTTGCCCGCCCCGCTCCCGCGCCGCTGCCCGCTAAACTCGAGGTTGAGGCCTAACATATTATGTCGTGATAGAGCATATAAATCTGAAGATCTGAAGTCGTTTGACGTTATATATAAAATCACACTCCTATTCCACTGCCTGAGTTAACCGCTTTACCTATAAAGGCGAGTTACTCTACTAAGGCCCACGGCGACTTTTCGACAGCATCGCTACTAACGCGCGTTAGTCGCATTTGCGACGCACTACAGTGTGTTTACCATGAGTTCTCGTTAGGTGTGCTCGCTAGCGACTGCGTTAAAAAAATGACATTAATTGTATGATATATTTTGCAGCGCCATTAGCGGCTACTTTCAAGAAACAAAATCTTCATAGAGATTTTTGAAGTACTCGCTAGCGAGCACACATAACGTAAGCTCATGGTAGGTACACAGAAGTGATGCCGACGCGTTACTAGCGCTACAACAGCGCGACTGCATCGCTACAAAAAGTCGCCGTGGGCGAGGGCCCTATTGACTCGACTAGTGCGGACAAGTGTCAAGGCTTCAGTGTTTGCTGGTGGCCCAGCGGTGGGCACCGAGTATTGTTGCCCAGCGGTGGGCAGTGGGCACTCACTTGTTGGCGCCCCAGCAGCCGCAGGAGCAGCTGCACACGCTGGGCGCGTACTCCTCGTCCACGTACAGCGGCATCACCGACGCGTCGCCTGCAACAATTCAATATTTGTTAAATATGTACTTCGTCAAATTCGCTTTTTTTCGCCAAGTCGGGACTTTGGTACTTTTTGAGTGAAAATAGCGGGATTCTTCCGTCAGAAGCGGGACATAGTAAAAAAACGTATATAATCAAAGGTTTTCAAATATTTATCTTTTTATTTGACTTAAAATTACGTTTACGTGACAATAGATAGCAAAAGTAGCCATAGAAAATGTATTTTAACAAAAAAGTAATATTTTAAATCAGATTTACTATAGCGTTAAATTCGTCTTTAGAATAAAAAAATTAAAAAAGTTTAATTCTTTGGAATAATATAGCGTTTCAAACAATAGTCTGGTGAAGTGAGTGTCTCTCTCCGAAAAGCGGGACCGAGCCTGTCCCGCGCGGGACATTTAAATTTGATTTAAAAATCGGGACGTCCCGCCAAAATCGGGACGTTTCGCAACGCTGAGTCACACCCAAACCAGTAACCCTGTTCTTCTTCTTCTCAGTCGGTATACTCTTGTCAGAGTGGTCGTTGTCATCATTGTAAACAACGATGAGTGAGGTTCCTCTCAATACGATGCCATTCCTCGCGGACTACAGCTTTCCGGGCACTTTCGCTAACCGAACACATGTTACTCGTTGGGAATGTTTTTCCCAACGAGTCACACTGGTACTGATCACAAACATTCAATTTTTTTTATGCATGACAAGTTATAAAGAAACAATGTACAAAATACATAAAAAATCTAAATAATGAAGTAATCTAAAGCTTACAGAAAATACAGGTTAATGAGTAGGGGTGTGACTCGTTGGGAAAAAGTGGTCAAATCAATCATGATGATCAAAATGTTGACCTCATTATATGACGGCTTATGAGGGTTAGTACTATAGAGGTCAAGTGTATTTCTGGTTATCTACGAGACTCGCACACCCTGAACCCTAATGAAAATATTTTGTAAAACTGCATATTCATTTAGTAAAAAAAACATACTTATATGAGGGATGAATGACTGACTAGGTAATTTAATAACAAGGGTGCATGGCCGTATCGCGAATATGCGCGGCGATTAAAAAACCGAGGAGCTGAGAAATTGAAGAACTTGCACACTAATGCACTGGCTCACAATTTCTGCTTAATATTATTCTTCCATCTTTTCTTATTCAGAAAGTGTTTGTTTAACTACCTTGTGGCCGCTGGCGGTTGTCGGCAGGCAGCCTTGTGCCGCGTGATACACCGCGTAACACCGCGCCGTCCGCCGTGATGACGTCACCTTCCAACCGCACTGCTACTTGCTGCGCCTGTGGATAATATTGCATTTATTAGCATTTTATTTATGTTAACTTAGAGCCAGGGAAAGGCAATCTGACTCAAGGGGAAAGGTCCCAGGGAAGAGAGGGCAAATATTTTTTTAAGGCAAGGTCTCCTGCGCTTAGACTTGGACGAAATAAGGTACGTAAGCCGGATAGTACCATTTTCAGGAGCAACTGTACTGGAGGGCTAACATATTATCCATGGGGGAAGCAAGGAACCAAGGGCGATAAGAGACAGCTTTGCTTTGACAGAAAGGAAGCCCAACAGTCGTAACGACATGCGATAAGATAGTGTGAAGTGTGCCAGTCTCCTCTATAAAAGGGACGATTCCCACCACGAGATACTAATGGTTGCATCTCACCTAATGGAAAGATACTATCATGCTGAAGCCAAGAGGACTATTGAGGATTCTAGAAGCGAGGTTTAGCCAGAACTGTCTTCCCCAGCCTCAGGGGAATCTACATGTGTCAATGATTAGTGTCTAAACCTGTTCCTGTAGGAATGAGGTCTCTACTGACCAGTTCCTGTTGAAATGGATGTGTTCATGTGTTCCCCTGTTCCTGTAGATATGCCAGCCCTCTGTTCCTGTGGGAACACCAGCTCACCTGCTCCTGGGCCTGCTGGTCGCGCTTCTCGTCCTCGGTGTTCATCGGAGTTCCTTCGTCACTTCTAGAAGCAAGTTTCATCTTCAACTCTCTTTCTCAGCCATAGAGAAAACTAGAAGCAAGCTTCACCCTGAACTGTCTTCCTCCACTACAGAGGAATCTAGATGTGGCAATCATACGTCTCTAGACCTGTTCCTATGGATATGATAACCCTGACTCACGCATGTTCTTGGACCCGCTAGTACCGCTTTTCTGCAGTGGAGGTGGACCCATGCGGAGACACGGTTAAATGACTGTGGACCCATATCCAGGCTAATCCATATTAGTCTCTCTGTTAATATGGATTTGCATGAGTCTCCTTATTCCTGTAGCAATGTCCTCACCTGCTCCTGCGCCTGCTGGTCGCGCTTCTCGTCCTCGGTGTTCATGGTGACGAAGCGCAGCACGAGCAGGTTGAGGCAGGCGGCCACGATGGCCATCCCGAACAGGATGAAGATGAGCGCGAACATCACGTACGACGGCTTGCTTGAGGCGTGGTCCTTGCAGTGAGGGACCAAAGGAACCAAGGACGGTAGAAGATAGAGGCTTGCTCCAATAGGGAGGAAGCAAGGAACCAAGGGCGATAAGAGACGGAGGCATGCTCTAAAAGAGGGAAAGACCACCTCAAGATGCCTCGAGAGATCTGTGTAGCCCCTTCAGGGTTACACTCAGTTGTGACGGCATGCGGTAGGATAATGGGAAGTGTGCCAGTCTACTCTGCAAGAAGGAGGAAGCCTACGTTGAGATGCTCTTGGCTGTATCTCACTTGATGGAAAGAGACTATTATGCTGAAGGCAAAAGCGAGCTTCATCCGGAACTGTCTTCCTCCAGCACAGAGGAATCCAGCTGTGGCAATAAAACGTCTAGATCTGTTCCTGTGGGGATGAGAGGTCTCTACTGACCTGCTTTTGTGAATGGTAAGTCTCTTACTTGTTCCTGGGCCCGTTTCTCAGCAGCAGATACTAAATGACTGCTGCTGCTGTGTCAATGTGAAGTCCCTACTGGCTGTTTCCTGTTGGTATACATGAGTCTTCTTATCCCTGTAGCAATGTCCTCACCGGCTCCTGTGCCGCTTGTCTACCTTGGAGACTAAATGACTTGATGATGTAGCTGTGGCAATACGAAGTCTGTCCTGACCTATTCCTCTTAGATATGCATTAGCCCCCATATTCCTGTGGAGTCCTAGTCCTCACCTGCTCCTGCGCCTGCTGGTCGCGCTTCTCGTCCTCGGTGTTCATGGTGACGAAGCGCAGCACGAGCAGGTTGAGGCAGGCGGCCACGATGGCCAGCCCGAACAGGATGAAGATGAGCGCGAACATCACGTACGACGGCTTGCTTGAGGCGTGGTGTCTTGAAGAGGTACTATAGTGTGATGATGATGGGGGACTAAAGGTACCAGGGATGGTAAGAGACAGAGGCCTGCTCCAATAAAGAGGAAGCCCACTTCGAGATACTCTTGATGGAAAGTGCCGGTTCAATGAAGGCAGAAGTATGCTTCGCCTGGAACTATCTTGCTTAATCACAGAGGAATCTAGAAGTTTCGCACAGAACTCTCGAGGAATCTAGAAGCGAGCTTCTTCCTCTACCATAGAGGAATATAGCTGTGGCAATGATAAGTCTCTAGACCAGTTCTTATGGGAATAATAAGTCTCTAATAACCTGTTCCTGGACTCGCTGATTTCGTTTCTCTGCAATAGAGACTAAATGACCTGATGATGAGAAGTCTCTACTGACCGGTTCCCGTTGGAATACATCAGCCTCTTTGTTCCTGTGGCAATGGATCAGTCTTCCAGTTGGAGTCTTTAGTCTTTTAAGGAGCTAATGATGCTCCTATGTCAGTGTCCTCTCACCTGCTCCTGCGCCTGCTGGTCGCGCTTCTCGTCCTCGGTGTTCATGGTGACGAAGCGCAGCACGAGCAGGTTGAGGCAGGCGGCCACGATGGCCAGCCCGAACAGGATGAAGATGAGCGCGAACATCACGTACGACGGCTTGCGGTTGAGCGCGTTGTCTCGCTGGAGAGCCACCATGTCGCCGAAACCTGGAAAGGATTGTGGCATTAGTAGGCAGAAGTCTACTGTTATATGGCTAGTAAGAACTAAGGTAAGGCCTAACCAAATCTATCTATCTATACAGGGTGTTAGGTAAATGGGTATATGAGCCGAGACTAGCCCATGTTAACATACTCATATAAATACTATAGTGGTGTCAGAAAGTGGATATCGTAATATTTAATAAAAAATATTTTCCCATACAAAACTAAATAAATTATTATTATTTTAATTTTTGGACAGCCCTACGATCGCCCAACTCCCTCCTAGGTCAAACGTGGTCAAGCGGTATTTCATTCACAAATTTTGACGCGAGTCGGCACTTTTATTATTACTTTTGAACCAATTCTTCACTTACCTCTTTTTATTGACTCTGCAAGCAATCCAAGGTATTCAGGGGGTAACACTTCACTCTAATTCACAAAACGAATCGCAACACATCTATCACATCCATCCACTCACTTATTCACCTTCCCACGCTTTCAAGTGGCCGGGTAGGTTCTTGTAGTGAAATCCTATTTTCAAGAACGGGATCTCCGGGTCTCCCTTCGGTGGTATGGTGGTGTCGATTCACCCACCCGCGAAAACATTAAGATACAAGGCATCGTGGAACGAAAGGTCTCCCGGACATAAATCGTTCATCACACTAAAGAAGACACAAACAAAGTCCTATTGCACCAACACCACTCAACACACATCACCATAATTTCACTGTATTACTTAGTTATTTGAATATCTAATTATCCAGAACGTCAACAACAAAACATCGCAACGAACGCAAATTATTTACTGAAAAAATAATGTAAACAAATAAACATGGCCGCATGGCGCGATGGCGCATGCGCGGTGCAACTAGTGCGGAGTCATTATTTTTTCCATAAAATCGGTAATCGATATTGATATTTCAAAAAATCGATTAAAATATCAAATTGTTTGAAAACCATCTGAGTAATCAATAGGAATGTCTTAAAATCAATTATCGATTAATTGATAGATCCTACCTACCTGAAATCGCTCATACTATCGATGGGTCTAAATTAGTTTAACGATACCATTGCATTGATAGAAGACATTGAAAAAAAAAACACCACATCCTACCCCCCTAGTTATAAGTATCCAGACTAACACTCGATAAACCTCGCACAGGGCGCCGCCCCTCTCGCGGATACGAAAACTAGTTTCGGGACGTGAACCGGGCACGTCACTACTCCTCTTGTCATAGTAGACTTGCAATTGTGGAATAACTTGCTCGTTATTTAAATAATAGCAATTTAGAGTCAGTGAAACTAGAATAAGTAAACTATTGTGGAACCTGAATTACAAAGTGCCATTGTGTTATTGATTGTGCGTTTCCTTGGTCAAATATCCCTGTAGGCATCCTGGATAGGTACACATCCCTCATCGCAGAAGGCGAACTGGGACTTAGTACTAAACAGCGGGGTGTCAGACTGAGCTAGCTAAGACGCCCCGTTGCAATTTGGTAAATTAAGAAAACCGTAATCTGCCATGCTTTTGGAAATGTTTTAGCTAAATTTAAATTTGCGATAAACGCTGTTATTTTTCTTAGAAAATATGATATTTTATTAACGATAGTATGAGTGATTGGGTGGCCTTTCGATAGGCTATTGATAGACAATCGGCAAGACTACTGTACTGACCAACTGGATTGTAATTACGGCACTGTAATTACGACACTTTGACCCCAGACGACTCGACCTTCATTAGTCAATCATGAAATGAAAACATAACCCCAACCACTTGTCATCTCCATTAATGATTGGAAATGAATTAATGGCACCTAAATTTATTATTTGTAAAAAAAAAATCCTTCAACGATTTATTATTGAACACGTGAAAAATCTTAATCGATTTTTAGCCTTCAATGTCACCTCCTTACACATCCTTACTCCTGCGCCGCGATGATCTTCCGACTCTTTCTTGCAAGTGAAAGCCGCCGTGCGATACGTCTTGCGTCTCACTCGCACTACACGTGCCGGTCCCATTGTCCCGACAACAAAAGACCTTTCGTTGTCCTTCAAAGATTAAACAAGCGTTGGACACATTTCTTTAATGCCTAAGGTTTTTTTTTCAATGGTGTCTTATTATTAGTTAAGGTATTTTTAGTACACAATATCGTGATTTACGATGATAAAATTTAGATGATTACCTACAATGTCTCATTTTCCTTAATCATAGTTATCAAGTTTAATGATTCGTTCGTTCATTCATTTCAGCCGAATGACGTCCAAAATGAACGGTCCTGATTATTCAGTTTATTTTAATAAGTAGGTAAGTTACAGTAAATGAAGTAAAATTAATTCTTGACCACTTTGTTTACTTTTACTTATCCAAAATCCAAATCGAATCAAATAAGGTATGGGAGTATTTGACTTGTGCTAAATCTTTTTAAATGGACTGATTTTCCTGGGGGATTTC